TGCTAGATAGGTTTTTGTGAAGAAGGTGGGAGGTAACATTGGCTGAAGTTTGGAGATGTTTAAGTACTGCTTTAATATTGTATAAAAAGTTAGGAAATGACAATCTTGTAATAAGGTTTTTTCTTTTGAGTTAATTAAATTTAACATTCAATTCAAAAAAAAAAAAATCTGAAAACCTCAAGGGACCCATAAAAATTTCAAAATATCTTATATTTTGAAACAAAATTAATCTTTTAAAACATCATCTAATTTGAAACGGATGGAATATTATATAATTTTACATATTTTCTTATTAAAATATCTGCACGGTTGTGCGGGTCGAGATCTAGTTTCACTTGATATCCTAACAATTTTAATTTTTAGTTAAATATATTAAGATTTTAGGAAATCATTAAATATTTTATTTTGTTAACCTAACATTTTTTATTTTAATTAAATATTAAATTTTCAGAGAGTCCTTTTTAAATATTTTAATTACTCTCTTAAATGTAATATATAAATATGTGTGTGTGTGTGTGTCCGTGCCTACGTGCGTGGGTGCGTGTGTGGGGGTGTATGTGCGTGCGTGCGCGCATGTGCGTGTGTGCGTGTGCACGTGCGCGTGTGTGTGCATGTGCGTGTGCATGTGTGTGCTTGTGTGTGTGAGTGAATATATTTATTTTTACTTAAATATTTTAACTAATTTTATTTTTAATTAAATATTAAATTTTCACCAAGCACTTCCTAAATGTGATAATCCTTCCAAATCAATATGAAATTTACAAGAAGATTTTCCTGAATATTTTACCTTGATAAAGAAATATATTAAAATTAACCCGTATAAATGGGAAATTAGATTCAGTTACGAGTCCGATCCAGACAAAATATCCCAAGTCAAATGTATTACAAACTAGCTTCGCCAACTCACTAAACACATAACAATCCGTTAGTCCATTTTTAAAAATCTTTAGGAATTGATTTTCTTTCTCAACCGTCGCTGATGCCCATAAAAAAGTAAGGGTCTCCTTTTTATCTCGGATGCCGAGAGTTCTTGTGTCATCTCCAATGTAGCTAGGTTTCGATGACCTCCTCAGAACTTATAACCGTCACCACCAATGACGCACAAACTCTATAGTAGAAGGGAAATAGAACACAACCCATTGAAAATTGCTCCATGACCCGCTATACAACCTCCTGTAACACCAAGTTCCCGCTATACAACCTCCTGTAACACCAAGTTCGCTCAATGCTAAGAGACCCGTAGGATTAACCAAGCCAAGAACGAGATGAAAAAATATGGGAACGATTAGACCGCAGCACTTGAAACCAGTAAAAGCTCGAGACCTGCACAAGAAAACACAATGCAACTTTAGTTTGAACCACAAAGAGAGAGCCAAATTACATAGATTAGTTGGACCGACGTAAGGAGTCACCAAGAACATTAAAGACATGCAGACTACGTGAGCCTCGTCATTCTTGCCAAACGCCACCTTTGAGATTCAGAGCAACGGAAACCTATGGGTTAGAAAGCGGAACCGGTGATAACGGCTCTACCCACAACAAAACACCATGAGCTAAAGCGCAAAAAAAAAAACAGTCGACTAAGTTTCGACAACACGAGTGGAACAAGAACCGCACGCACACACGCACACACACACGCACGCATGCATGCATGCACGCTCGCACGCATCGGGAAGAGGAGATACAAATGGGTGAGAGGTCAAGACATTGCCTCGGAAAAACCATAGACGACCTCACCGATAACACAGAGCTAAGAAACTCTACAAGCCACCACCAGGAAAGCTGACACATGCCAACACCACCAATTAATCTCGCCTCCGAGATATACAAAACCTCTGGAGCACCCACGATGTGAGCAGAAAGAAAGTCACGTCCTTCCAAGATGCCGAGGATAGAACAACGACCCTCGGCTCACACCGCTCAAACACAGACCAAATAGAGACTGAATCACCAATAATGCTCACTGAATCTGTAGTTGTAGCCACAAGTCCCCCTCCACATGCCACCTACTCTACAAACGACCAAGGAGTCATTTGCAAATCTCCCAAAAATGACTCTGCTTGAGACGTCCCAACAACACCCATGACACAGCTCCAATAACTGGCTGAATCCACGCCGAATTGCACCTCCTCTCGAGCGTAGATGAAGATGGCGGAATCCCTAGAATCAGAGACGCGAGAAAAATGAAGCTGAAGGCAATGGCGTGGTGAAGAAAAGAGAAAACGGAGATGAAAAGAATGAGAGAGCTGGTGTGTGTTCGCACACGCCGCCAATGCCGGAGTTAAGACACGGATCTGGTTTTGTTCGATGCTCTTATACAATGCATAGATGTTAGATGCTCTTATAAAATGCATAGAATAAAACATATATGTTAGATACTCTTAGATGCTTTTTAACGTAGTAAAACATAGATCTCTCTTAACAGACACTGCATAAGTCTTTTTGGATCTCAGGGTTCATATCCACAATGAATGTTTAACACCAAGGTACAAATCCAATCAATAACTAAAATTCAACATCAAGAAGAAAAGATGGGCTACCTTAGAGTTTTTACTTCTCAAAGTGAATCATGAATTGCTTAGGAGACATACAACAATACAAACTTATTAGTTTTCAAGTAGCTCTAAATCGCAAGCAATTATTATAGAAGACAGTTATTTATGGATGTACACGTAAAAAGTTAGTTATCTATTCTAATACAATGACTGGATATATAGGATCAGGCGATTATTCTAAATGCACATTCATATGCATAAATTAAGTAATAAGAAGAAAATATTATTACACATGCTCCATATATCACTCTAACTTAGGAATATACTTCCATTGAAAAAAAAAAAACGACATTGTCCCTGTGAATGTTCTGTTTAATCAAATGGCGAACATAAAATGTTGTGTCTCAATTATCACCACGGCATGTAACATATTGGTTGATTTGTGCTAATGTTGTTATTCTGTAACCATTCATATTGAATTTATCATAACAATGCCATGAAAGCATAAAAATGGTTCATTCTATACAAAGATCTCGCTATTTTTCAGAGCTTTGCAAGAGACATCTTTCATTTCATGAAACCAGGTCTATCAATGCCATGAAAGCATAAAAATGTCATGGTCGTCTGAGACGTGTGCCAACAAATTTCTATGTTCTGCTTTTCAACCTCCTTCTTTGGCATCATATCTGATCATGCAACTGTCGATATATGTCTTTCTTTACCAATTACAACTTTTTCCCCTGGTTTTGGATTGAGCTTTCTTTTGTTCTATTCTACATCCATGATTAAGTGCATCGTTTGATGCTTAAATTCAAAAAAAAAAAATTACCTTAATATATGTTATTGAACATTTTAAATTTATATCGACAACAAAACAGTAAACAAATTCTCGGATTTGTTTTACTACTTTTATGAAACATTTGATGGTTGGGAAATTTCTTTTCATATTAGAGGACTAGTAATTTATTTTAAATATATAAATATAATATATAATAATTTATTTACAGAAATAAACCTTATGGATTCATTTTTCACTTCTAACAGTATTTGTATTGTCTAAAAAACAAATTCTCGGAATTGTTTTTTTTTGAGAAAGGGATTTAATTTTTTTTCGGAATTGTTTTACTACTTTTATGAAACATTTGATGGTTGAGAAATTTATTTTATCATATTAGAGGACTAGTAATTTATTTTAAATATAGAAATATAATATATAATAATTTATTCACAGAAATAAATCTTATGGATTCATTTTTCACTTCTAACAGTATTTGTATTGTCTAAAAAAAAAATGCATTATGAAATGCATATAGTTTAATAAATTATTTTTTGGCAAATGAGAATTACGCTATAACCTCTTTTAATTATTACTGTATAAATTAATATACACTAAAAATCATAATAAAATAATATAATTTTATAGTCTGAATTTTTGGTTCAATTTGTGTATCGATAAATTAATATTCTATAAACTAATAAAAAATATAGTTTTGCTGTAATTCCAACATTATTAAATTATAGAAATTTCAATGTAATTAAAATTAAATAATATAATATAAAAATCAAAGTAAAACAAAAGAAATTTGCTCGATAAAAATTACTTTCTTTTTGTGTGTTCATTAGTTTGTTGTCTCTCGAAGACTTGTGTTGAAAGAGCGGCCAAGTGATCTCTCTCTGTCTGTTTCTCTCTCTCTCTCTTCGGTCGTTGCCTATTCGGAGAAATCACACTGCAATGCAAAGCTGAAACATCTCTTATCGTTCTTGGAAAGGCTCTTCAGATTTACCAAATCTCTCTCTCTTGCTACTTCTCTTAATGCGGTTTTAGGTAATTCACGTTCGTGATGTTGTAAAACGTTACTGGTAGATGCATAGAGAACCCTCTAAAGTATCCATCTTTGTAGAATTCGTGTTTTCACGTTTCCACGTCAAAGATCGCAGCCTTATCTTTTATTCCAAGTGTTGACCACGACTCTTGTCGTTTCGTCTTATCTCTTTACATGGGTTTATAGGAATTACATGTCTCTTGTTGATCCATGTTCTTGATTCTTGGATTGTGCGTTTCTTTCACTAATCATGTCTCGGATAGCTTGATGTCAAAACGTATCTTTCTAGAGCAATTTGATTTCTCACAAAAAGATTGCAACCCAGTCTAAGTGTTTGATGTAACGTTTGCTTATCTGTTTTATTTGATATTTTACCAGAAATATTTTGTTATGTTTTCTGCGTCATGTTCATTCTAATATTTATGTTAGTGAAATGAGTGTTGGATCCTCTAAGTTATCTATCTTTGCAAGGTAATCTCAGCTGAATCTTTCTCTTGTATGAACATGATATTGTGTTATGTTCTTGAAGGTGTTTGCATGACAATGAGTTGAGTGAAGCAACTGTGTGATCCTCTTTTATCTGGAGCTTTTCTTTTGCCTCTAAATGCTATCCACTGAATCAAAAAAAAAATTCTTTCTATTTGTGCAGAAAGTTCTTCTGATGGTTGAAGAAAACAATCCTATGGATTATTCTTGTGAAGAAGAATTTGTCTGTGGCAATCCCAAAGTTGATGTACGTGTTGGAGATGAATATCAGGCTGAGATACCTCCTATGATGTCTGATTCCAAACGTGCAGCGTTTCTTGTGAACCCTCTAGTTTCTGATCTTGGCTCTTCTTCCTTTGCGGTTGGACTACCTCTCCATGTAACTTGGATAGACGCCAAAAAATGTAAAGATACACAAGGGCTTGGAGATGATGATAATGTCGACATGAGCGAGTCTCTCAAATCTCTGAAAAACAAAAGAAGCCGCAGAGGTGAGGCGGGAACTAAGAAGCAACGGATGTATCTTGAAGCTGCGCCGGAGGAACCATCAAGTTGTTGGGAAGATTCGGAAGTAGATGGGTTTGTTCTTGGTTTATATACATTCGGAAAGAACTTCACTCAGGTGAAGAAGTTATTGGAGAGCAAAGAAACAGGAGACCTTTCGTTTTACTATGGAAAGTTCTACAAATCTGCTAAACACAAGATTTGGTCAAACTCCCTCAAGAAGCAAAGCAGAAAATGCATACAAGGGAAGAAGCTCTATTCAGGTTGGAGGCTACAACAGTTGTTGTCTCGTTTGATTCCCAACATTACCGATGAATCTCAGAGAAAGAAGCTTGTGAATGTGAGTCTCTCTTCTTTCCACATTCTTTACACTGAGAATGTATTTAACAAGTTTTATCTTGAAAAAAAAAAACAATTTAAACAGGTTTCAAAGTCATTTGCTGAAGGGAATAGATCTCTGGAGAGATACATTATTGAAGTGAAAGAACTAGTCGGTCTCCAATCTCTTGTAGAAGCCGTAGCAATCGGCAAAGACAAAGATCTGACAGTACTAACAACAGAACCAATGAGATCAAAACAATGGTTCGCAGTTTCATCTGCTGGTTCAGGTGCATACACTTCCCTCACATCTGAGGAAATAATCGAAAAACTGGATGGTGGTGGTTCCCGTCTAAGCAAAGCCCGTTGCATTGATATCTTCTGGGACGCTGTGTGGCCACGTTTGCTAGCCAGAGGATGGCATTCTGAGCAGGCAAAGGACATCAAATCTAAAGACAACATCGTCTTCCTCATCCCTGGGGTAGAAAAGTTCTCAAGACGGAACCTTGTTAAACAGAATCATTACTTTGACTCCATCAGTGAAATTCTCAAAAAAGTTGTTGCTGAGCCAGAGCTTCTTGAATTTGAGACAACAGACATCATCAGACCTCCCAATGGATTCATTGAAGAGAATAGTTACGAATACTGTAAGCAAGAAAAATGCTGTTACCTCAGGTCTCCAGACACTTCTTCTACTCATCTGAAGTTCGCTGTTGTGGACACTACTAGTTTGGCTTCAGGAGGCAAGTTGTGTAGATTTCGAGAGTTGAAGAACCCTTCTGTGGAAAGATCCCAAATGATGCCGTTGGATGCCAAGTTTGCTGGTGAATGTAAATGGGAAAAGAAGGGAATGAAGAAACTGGTGGAAGAGCCGGGGAGATTCATGATTGTGGATACAAGTGGGCAGTCATCAAGGATGAAGAGATGGAGACATTTGCCCGGCAATGAAAATCTGTGCAAGGCCTTTGGTGATTCATCATCACAGATCCAATCTGGTACTAATACAGGTGTGACTTGCGAGCTGTCGGGTTCTGGGGTAAAGGAGGCGAGTTTGGACAATGTTCGGTCAAAGAAGAGGTCTGTCCGAAAATCAGAATCTGTTAGCCATCATTCGGTAAGTTCTTTTCCCTCGCCAAAACGAAGGCGGCTAAGTACATGTGTAAGGAAAGATATGGAACGTTTTGGTCAGAATCCCAAGTTATCAGAAGAAACAAAGACTAAAGCAAATGGATTGCGTTCAAAGAAACAAGAAGCTCTTCAGGAAGTCGGTTCACTGGAGAAACAACAAGAGGACTCAAATTGGTTGTGTTCGGACAAAAAATGCTCTTCAGAGTATCTGGAAGCTTCCCAACATCGGGAGAAAACGATTAAGCTTCCTTCCATGCCAGGCTCAGACAAGAGGAATTCTCCTTCCACTGACCATGGAACTACTCAAAAACTTGCATTAATGAAACAAGAAGAAGAAGAGCTGAACCAACAGACAAACACAGATCTTCCAAGAAGGCAAAGTACAAGAAAGAGGCCATTGACGACTCGTGCTCTTGAAGCTCTTGAATCCGGATTTTATACTTCAGAGAGCCTGAAAAGTACATCTCATCTCAACCGATAAAATTCGAAAGGTCTACAAGGATCAAGCACTCAGCCAAAGCAACTCAAGGTGAGTCAGAGAATGGTTTTATTGTAAAGGAAACCACATCAAGTAAACCGCTGGACCGGGAAGAGGATTTGGGACGGAGCTTTCTTGCTGATAAAGCAACAACCGTGAGTAAGCATGTGGATCAACCAGAGGATTCGAACAAGGTGACAACCGAGTCCATAAACGTCCTCCAATTCTTTTGAAGTTTCCTTTTAAGCGTGGTCGAACAAGTGTTAAAAACTCTAGTATGAATCTGGTACATGTTACATATCCATAGCTAATATTTTCTTGTTTTGAATTTTTTTCTAAACTGCTAAATGAATTAGTTTGATATAATTACTTCAAACTTTCTAACTTTTAAAGTTAAATAAAGAAAGATACGGTTTTAGTCCCTTTACTGTACAGTAACCAGAGCAATCTTCTAGTGCAATTTTATTTCGTTTCTCGGGTATGTCATATTTATTTATCCAGTGGGCTGAATGATTCACAAGTTAGTTAAAGTCACAACAATGTACATTCAAGGCCGATTTGGTTCCTGGCAGCTAATCTGTCGCGTCACTTCATTGTCCAACTTGTCATTAAATACTCCAGACCCAGGTCTGCTCCCGACCTTGGACCAATTACACAATAAATAATGTGATTGTAAGTTTAGTGAATAACAAAGTGTATTTAGCTCAAGAACAAGAGAGAGTATGTGTTTTGATTCGTGAGAGTAAGAGAGAGAATGGTGTTTGCTGTTTGTAACGAGAGAGAGTAGAGAGTGTGAGAAGGATATTTTATTTATTTGTTTAATGTAGGTTGCATACAATGTAAATTTAAAGCTTAAATTAGATCAAGAGAAGATAAGAAGAATAAGCATAAACAATGATGGTCTGGCCGAGGGAAAGCGACAGCTCCCAAACGGCTCCAAGTTTAGCCAAAACATGTGACTTCTATCTTATTTTATTTACACTTGTCTAATCTATCTCTCAACGGTCTAGAGTCTCTTTTGACTTTCCAATCTGCTTCAAAGGAAGAAGCTGAACGAGCCTAATCAATGCCTTGTCTCCCAAGTTCCCTTAGGTCATGCTAAGTTACTTGTGTGCCAAAGCTTTACGGACTGTACGGAATGCCTTGTAACTCAAGGCAGTGCGGACTAGACTCCTCTTCTCATGTCTTCATCTATTTAGATTAATACTCTCCCTCAAACTTAATCATGTGAAACAAGTCAAGCTTGGAACCCATGAAGACTTCCCTCATTAAAACCTTAATATGCAAAACTCATATGGGACAAAAACATACTAAGGAAAGAGTAGAAGCTCCATGGCTAAAGGATTCTTGCCTTGTTGATGTCTATGAGTCAGAGCTTAGGATAGATGGACTCACACACCTTAGTGCTTACTGCCTTAGTGAAGATGTCGGCTAACTGATCTTCACTTCTTGTGTAGCATGGCAAGATAACTCCTTAAACCACCATCTATCTCACCTTGTGGCAATCTACCTCAATATGCTTGGTCCTCTCATAGAACACTGAGTTGGAAGCAATGTGTATTGCTGCTTGATTATCACAATGCATTGTAATTGGGACAGTAATCTCAATGCATAAGTCTTTGAGTAGTCCTTTGATCCATACCAATTCGCTGGTTAGCTTCCTCATGGCTCTATACTCTGCTTCAACACTTGAACAAGAGACCACCTTCTTCTTCTTGCTCTTCCATGTGACTAGGTTGCCTCCAATGAAAGTACAATAGCATGTGGTTGGTTTTCTATCATTCCTATCTCATGCCCAATCTGCATCACAATAGCCAACAACTTCTGTGGTGCCATTGCAACCCATCCAAACTCCTTGTCCCGGAGCTCCACTGAAGTATCTAAGGATTCTCTCCACCATTTTCCAGTGATGGACTTTTGTCACTTGCATATGCTAGCTCACTTGGTTTACTGAAAAACAAATATCAGGTCTGGTGATGGTTAAGTAGATAAGCTTTCCCACCAGTCTTCTATATTGATGTGGATCATCAAATGGAGTATCTTCATACTCTCCCTCATGCAAGATCTTATAACCATCTTCCAAAGAGGTCTTAGCTAGTTTTTCTCCTAGCATACCTGCACCATTTAGAAAATCAAGTGTCTACTTCCTTTGGGACAAGAAGAGCCCCTCTTTAGATCGGCAAACTTCTATTCCAAGGAAGTACTTTAGCTCACCTAAATCCTTATCATCAAAAACAGATTTTAAATAATCTTTAGTGTCTTGTATACCTTTTTTGTCACTCCCTGTGATGATGATATCATCAACCTACACAAGGATGACTACTATACCTTGTTGGCTAGTGAGTGTGAACAAGGTATGATCTGCCTCCGATCGGTTGAATCATTTTCCATTTAGTGTGGTGCTTAGCTTGTGATACCAGGATCTTGGTGATTGTTTTAACCCATATATAACTTTCTTGAGTCTCCACACAATGTCTGGTTTAACCATGTTTTCTTGACCAGGAGGAGGTCGCATGTATACTTCATCCTCTAGTTTACCTTGAAGAAAAGCATTCTTGACATCCATTTGCCACAAGTCCCACTCCAAGTTCACCGCAAGAGAGAGAAGTATTCTGATTGTGTGGAGCTTTGCTATTGGTGCAAAGGTATCAAGGTAATCATCTCCATATGTTTGAGTAAATCCTCTTGCCACTAACCTAGTCTTCTTCCTCTCTGGTTCTCCATTGGCCAGGTACTTGATGGTGTGAATTAATCTGCTATTGACTGCCTTCTTACCATTGGGAAGTTCAGTCTCAAACTATGTACCATTCCTGATCATAGCACCCATCTCCTCTCCAACTGATTCTCTCCATTCATCATCTGCCATTGCTCCTTCATAAGTCTTTGTGATCCAATCTTGGTCTAGGTTTCTCATGAAGACTTGATGTTCCTATGGATATAGTGCTAAGGAACACACTGCCTAAATGGGATGAGCCACCGCATTTGCATTGAAGTACACTCTTGTATTCTTCCAGTTCTCTGAACCATGCCTAATCGTAGTGCTTCTTCTCAACGATTGTACCTCTTGCACTGCTTCCTCTTTTTGCTGACCAGATTCCTCCACATTAATCCCATCCTCATTTCTATCTTGATCATGCACTTCCGGACTAGTTTCAGCCGGTTCTTGTTGGTTCCCCCCTTCATGGTCAAGATGGAAATCACCTAATACTGGTTCTTCTTCTTGTGGCATGGCCCTAGTTACTGCCTCTCTTTCTTTTGGCCGGTTATTCCCAAGGCTCTCTAGGATAATCCTTAGATTTTTAGCTCTATCTGAGGGTGCTTGTGAGAGATCCTTGAGGTTATCCCAGCTCTTCTCATCATAGTAATCCTTAGACTCCATAAACTTGAGATCTCTTGAGACCATTACCCTTCTAGTTTTAGGTACATAGAATTTGTATCTCTTCTGGTTGGATGAGTATCCAATAAACATTGCCTTGACACTCTTAGGTTCTAACTTGTTCCTTAGTTCACCTGGAATCAAAACAAAACAAGGGCACCCAAACATACGCAAATGATCAATGGAGGGTTTGTCTTTAGTCAATACCTCATAAGGAGAGACATCATGGAGAACTCGTGTGGGTGTTCTATTGATCAGATAGCATGATGTCACCATAGTATCTTCCCAAAACCTTTTTGGAACATTGGTATGGAACATCATACTCCTAGCAACCTCCATAAGATGCTGATTTTTCCTCTCAGCCACTCCATTGTGTTGTGGTGTGTATGGGCAACTGGTTTGGTGAATGATTCCATGTTTGGCTAGCTGATTTCTGAAAGCATGGCTTGTGTACTCATGGCTTGTGTACTATTATCTGACCTAAATATTTTGATCTTGGCATTAAAGTGGTTAGTCACATAACTTTGAAAGTCCATGAAAGCCTCTAAAACTTTATCCTTAGATTGTATTAAGGTCAGCCAAGCATATTTAGATTTTTCACCTATAAAGGAGACAAAATATTTGTGGTTTTCTTTAGAGGCACAAGGGGCAGTCCAAACATCTGAGTGAACTAAATCAAAACAATGCTCATAAATAGTAGAAGATTCAGTAAAAATAGTTTTGCAATATTTTCCTAGGATACAAGCCTCACAAGTATCCTTTTTAAAAGAGAGATTAAGCAATATCAACCCTAAGGCACGAGTGTGAGGATGGCCTAATCTAGCATGCCATAATATATCAGAAGCTAACATAGAAGCAGAACTAAAAGCAGAATGTAAATCTGATCTAAGCTTGGTGTCTTTTAGAAAATAGAGATCTCATTTGCTCACACCTTTTCCAATCATCTTACTTGTCTCAATATCCTGAAATACACTTTATTAGGACTAAAGATGACACTGCAATTTAGATCAGTGGTTGCCTTCTTAACCGAAATTAAATTAGAGGCAAATGAGGGCATGTAAAGTGCCTTAGATTCTTTTTCAAACAATTTCAGGTTCCCTACTCCCTCAATGGGAATACTATCACCATTAGAAATCTTAACACTTCCTAAGGCAGGTTCTACATTACTAATGAGACTAATCCTTAATCATATGATGGGTAGCCTCTGAATCAACAATGAGAGACTTAGCATTTAAATAGGTATTGAACTATTTGTGAATGCATTTTTTTTACCAGATTATTCATTGAGGGCTTTGATCAAGGCCTCAATGTCTGACTTGAGAAGGTAAGAGTCCTCCTGGACTGGCTGAGAAGAGGCACCAACAGCAAAGGTGGTTGAGACCATTGCTTTTCCCTCCTCTCCTAGGCGCATAGGACCCGAGTTGTATGGCTGAGTCTATTGAGCCCTTGCTTCATGTGCCCTGCCTTGTCCATACTTGTTAGTTGAGGATTGTCTTAGGTGACGATGGAGAGTCCAGCAGTTGCTCTTGATGTGACGTGTCTTCTTGCAATGGTCACAAAAACCTGAACGCCTATCTCCATCTGGTTTGTAAGCTTCTTTGTTGACTGCTGGTGCTTATCCCTTCTC